CAGCCTTTATACGATCCAGAGAGGGAGTAGAGTTCTTTACCAAACTAATCGCTGATCATGGATCTGTAGAGCCACCAAACGAAACAACCACACCCATGAAATCAACGACTCCAGCCAATAACAACAATAATAACAATAACAACACTAAAAGGCCAGTCAATAACGCATCACGGTGTATCTCTAATATCTACTTTCATTTATTAATTGCTGTATTTGTAATCTCAAAATTAATTGCCTAAAAAATATAACCAACATGAAGCAAGGGATAAACCATGACTCTGGGATTAGAATGGAATCAAGGATAACAGACGAGGAAGAAGTCCGATATTAAAAGAAAGATTGCGGAGTATATCTCCGACATGTATCGAGTTCACTTTCTCCACATAAGTTATATTTATAGCACGGCTTTCATGAGTTTACAGGTTTAACCACAGAGGCCATAGACCGAGGTGTTAAACCCGTTAACGCATGAAGCGTGCTATAAATAACTTGTAACATTGACACCCGCTCAACATGCTCGTTGTTATTGCACAGATAACCCACCCCAATTCTCTATATGATTTCTAGTAAACAAGCAAAAGTGTGCAATAACAATGAAAATTTCTAGTTATTGCACGGTTAAGCTCCAGGCAGTCTGCTAGAGGGAAAACAATCTGCTTATTCAACAAGAACAAAGGAAGATTTCCCGTCAATGTTACAATATTTTTTTCCCCATCTTATTTCAAATTTGGATCTGTGACATGCAGATCTATAGATAGTAAAACAGAAATCATATTTAAGTTTTCATCTGTTGATAGTAAACGATAAATATTGCTGTAATATAACATGCTGTCAATATTATGATGTAATGATAATATAGCATGTTTCCAATATTATAATATAATGATAATTTAAGATATAATGACGCAATGATAATTTAAGATATAATGATGCAATGATAATTTAACATTGTGATGTAATGATAATATTATGATGTAATGATAATTTGATAATATAATGATGCAATGATAATATACCTTGTTGTCAACATTGTGATGTAATAATAATATTATGATGTAATGATAATTTAAGATGCAATTATAATTTAACATGTTGTCAACATTGTGATGTAATGATAATATAAAATGTTGTAAATATTATGATGTAAAATAATTAGTGTAATTGATGTAATGATAATATAATTGTTGTAGTTGGTGTTATGTAATGAAAATATAACATGGTGTAAATATTGCGATGTAATGATAGCATAAAATGTTGTCAATATTGGAATATAATGAGCTTTAATTAACCACGACATTTAATTAATCCTTTGAATTGATTGTTAAAACAATTTTATAATTTATTATAAATGTCAGTCGGATTTATTGTTGATCGAATCAGTTGTTTGATGTTTTCTTCTCTAAATATGTACAACTGATATAAAGTGCTTTAAAATGTACATCTTCTTATGCAAATTAACATTAAGCGGTGCAATGTCTATTTTCTGTATTGTCCGCTGGTTTATCTTGTAGATTTTTGATTTACGTGTAGTGCGGTCCTCCTGCACTTACTAATACAATATGTAATATTTTCTTTAAACAGAGAAAACCTAGCACTGAATACAGTCGCAAAAATGCGACCTGTCTTGACGGCTGTCTTTTGCTAACTGACTTTACTTGACGGGTGTTGTATTTAACATGTTCTGGACCTATATACCCCATTTTCTTATTAAATAATTTACAATTGTTTTACTTCATAGATGATTGGAAAGTTCCAATCGATGTGATATTAAGATTTCGATAGTGTTCATTTTAAAACCTGATTTTAATTTTAAGTACGAACTACGCCATAATATAAGGATGTATACTGTTTAGAATATAGTCTATTTATGTCTGTATTTTATTTTGGAATTATCCTTCTTGTCTATTTCCTCAATCAATTGTGGTTAATGCTAAAAGCTAAGGCCCATTGCAGGGCAGGGCACAATCTCGTCAATAATCACGTGCCCTAATCCTATTTACATATCGTGACCCATGACAAAATCTGCAATGGGCCTTAACTTTTAGCTTTTAGCCAATTGTTTGTAAATGTATTGCCATTTATTGTAATTTGATAGTTAGCCTTGCAATAAGAAAGTATGGAATATCTGTGATATATAAATTTATAAAAGAAAATTAACTAAAGGTTATTGGATTGTGTTTTCATGAGTATTAACACTACAGAAATTCACGGCATCCTCTGGAAGCAGGCCACCATTAATTTTCCATATCTTGGTACCCACCGATTGTAGTGCCGGCTATATTGAGATATATTTTTCTCCCTCCTCTCATGTCATTTTGCAGGCTTATCTGTATTGACTTATTGGTGTAGAATTAATGAAGAGACATGGAGTTTCTATTTTCTGGCTGGTTTGATGTCAGATTGAGACTTTTAAAGCGGAAGAATACACCAGTAAAGCTGCTTGGATTTGTTTTAGCACTAACACGGACATGATATTCTGACCCCAGTCTGCTGTGAATTTCAGTAATTGAAATTTTGGTGGTCAACCTCTTACAAATTTAGTACTCTGATGATCCCATGATGCCATACTGGCTGTGGTGTATAGGGGACTTCGCAACGAAATTTAGGGAATGGGCTACTTATTTAACTTTAGAGTCAATGAAGAAGTTAATGGTGGTCTGCACCCGTCTTATTTACAGAGTTATCCCCCTTTTAGTAGAAAACAACGTTATCTGATTAACCTATTGAAAGGGAAAAGTTATTTGAAGTTAGGCTCTGTCCGTTCGTGGTTAAGTGATTATACATAACATGATTCCCTTGATAAATTCCCATTCCTTCTGTTTCGCCATTAGACGACTGTCCCAGTTTGACCATCAGACGATTCTTTCTTTTTGACTATCAGACGATTACCTGTGTTTGACTTTCATCCATTTGCCACTTTTTAACTGTTATACGACTGTCGCTTTTCGGCCATCATACAATTCCTTCTTTTTGATCCTACTCCTATTTCTAATTCAAGCCTTTTTGTATCCTTGTTAGGCCCTCCATAGTGAACCACTGACAAGGGGAAACCACGTAGGGCCATCCCAAGGACATTTCTGAGTTAACACCGGGATCATTACTAACGTTGATAATAAATAAAGACTCGATTATCCATTTTTACGTTAAATTGTCCATCAGAAAATGTATTCAAATCCAGTAAATAGCGTAGGCCAAGGATGGAATCGAGGGTGTATTGTGATCTTGATAAGTTATTTAAATTAATGTCTCATTAATACTGTAGATAACATTTCAGGTCTAAAGAAAGACCTGCAATAGGCAGATTTATTTCTTGCATAATGCATGTTTAAAGGAAGCAGCCATTGACAAAGAGCGCAAATTCATTATCATATTATGACTTTAGTGATCAGCAAAATATATAAGTTTGGTTTTCATAAATAATGCCTTGTAATGGGTATTTACCCTAACAACAGAAACACGTGTTCCAGACAACCATCTCCTGTGCTTCTAGGTAAACGGAGTGTCTCAATGAGTAAGCCACTGGCTCGCTAACCAGGAGGTATCGGGTTCCCTCCCGGTGTTAACTCAGAAATGTCCTTGGGATGGCCCTACATGATTTCCCCCTTGTCAGTGGTTCACTATGGAGGGCCTAACAAGGATAAAAAAGGTTGGAATTAGAAATAGGAGTAGGACGTAGTGGCGTATGCCCGTCGTCATTTACCCAATCGGTGCAGAAAAGTAAGACGTCAAACATCATTTCATTTCCTTTGCTTATGGCAAGCATGAATAAACAATTCGTAAATATTACATAGCAAACTATTCTTCCAATCACCTATACGTATTGAAATAGATCGTACACGAAGCGGGATTTGTTTACGTTTTAGTAGAACATCTGATATCACTTTCGTAGGTAATCAGTCTGTCATATGTTTGTGTGTTTTTAAAACGCGGTGGCTCAGTGAGTAAGGCGTTGGCGTCCCGTGTGCGATCCAGGTGATGGCTGACCACGTTCTTCGGTATTTTCCGGATTTTTCTCTCTTGTCAGGTGGTTGAGGCCGGTTAGATCCATTTGATAAGACCAACTTCAAGTTTGGTCAAAGGCTACGAGATGTAAACAGGGCTAATGCTATTCCCTACCCTAACCCTAACTTACAATTTCGCCAACAATCACGTGTCCTAACCTTATGTACATATTAGGGCCTTGACGAAAATTGAGCCGGCCTTAACGAATAGATTTAGTCGTGGAGGACGGAAGACCTGGAACGGGAATGGCGTTTAGTGGTACAGGTGGGTACAAAGACCCACCTGTAATGCTGCTGACATTCAAATAAAAGTTTTCTTGACATTGGAAGTAGACAGAGAATCAGTTTTGCAGGCCAAGTAGGTCTGATGGCCAACTGCATGGCGGATGTCCATTTTCTTTAGCCAGGTCGGTACACAATCTGTTTCACAGAGATCTTCTAATATCCCTGTAACAGATGACTGTTTCGACACGTGACGTCACATCACGCGGCGTCAACCATTGGGTCAATAGCGCGTGCATTGTTTACATAAGACGTTACCGATTCGGGCTAAATCTAAATGGTGAATTTTACTTATTTTAATACCCATTTACACTAAAATAGGAAATAATTTTTACCTACAAACAATTCAAACGTCTTTATTTATTTTTCTAATAAATGAAAAAAAAATGTTTTAGAATTTAATTTGTCGGAGGAAAAAAGTTAATATTTGTGACTCATTAAGTCGCATTGATGTCATCCTTATCAGTGATTGTAGCGGCCTAGCGAGTATTCACTGCTGATCAGTGTGGTCGGTACATACAAGAAGAACGTTAAACCACATTTCATCACTAATCGATGATGACTGGCATCCACGTATACAACTTAGTTGCCACCTGTTGTTAACCAGGCCTATGGTTTGCGAAAATTACAAGCGGCTGTTGCAGTTTTAACAATAAAATTCACAGATCTGTATTTATCAATACATCATCGCGATATAAATTAAACGAACCACAGGGGTCAAAGGTCAGTTTTAATAAAACATAATTTATCGGAATTCACAGAGACATATATCACCAACATAGCAATTAAAAACATAGGGGCATATTTCTCCAATAAAAACACAGGGACCTTTTCCAATGTATACTAAATACACAAAATAAATAAATAAAAGTTGATTTTATAATAAATACCAATGTCGTTTAATAGAATCAGCTCGTTGGTGCTGATTTTAAAGATTTTCGTTTCCCCTTGAAACTAAGTCTATGAATAAAACCGCGAACTTTCGTAAAAGTCTGTTCCTGAAATTTTGTTCTCGTTCGCACGCACCGAACTTGGCGTATGACGTCATGAAATATATTTGTAATATGGTGACTATCAAAATAACGGGAAGTTTCGTAGAAAGCAGATCCCAGATCAAAAGCAAGGTCTCTACCACATGACACTGTAACTTGACGTCCGCTCATTCCATCTGCCTTATTGCCTGAAATTAAGTAAATCGAAAGTAGGATTTAAATTAAAATAATGGATGTGACTACAAAAATCAGTGTATCAAAAGATCCATATACAACAGAGACATTAACCTAAACTGGTAACAACTTGCGGTTAGGGTAGAGGTTATTGAATTAATGTAATGGGCAAAGCAACGGTGGCTCAGTGAGTGGGTTGGTTTGGTTTGCTAACCTGGAGGTACACAGTTCGACCCATGCATTGGTCAACAAAATTCATAGGAATTTTCCGGCGTGGTAAGGGATAACGTATAGCTGTTCGGATGGGACAAAAAAATCGAGGTCCCGTGTACACATTGGCGTGCAAGTAAAAGAACCCTTGGCAGTTGGAATTCGATATAAGAGTAGGCCGCAGCGCCGCTGCCTGGGCAAAATTTCCCTCATAGAAAACTGTATGGCGTATGGCCGGAATGAAATGAAATGGGGTTTAACGTCCTACTGTTCTGCTCCTATACTGGGCTAATGAAGACGGGCATACGCCATACAGCGTGCTATGAGGGAAATTTTGCCCGGACAGCGGCACTATCGCTTACTCTTATATCGAATTCCAACTGCCAAGAGATCTTTTACGTGCATTCCAATGTATACACGGGACCTCGGGTCTTCGTATCTTCCGAAGGACTAGACAGCTGTCCTTGCCAGGCCCTCCGTTCTGCACCACTGACAAGGAGAAACCACGTCGTAAAATCCCGATGAACTTTCTCGGCCAATGCAGGGATCGAACACGTGACCTCCAGACTAGCGAGCCAGCGTCTTACCCGTCTTCATTAGCCCAGTAATAGCATTTAAAGTCCAGGGAAATAAGGTGACTAGTAAGAATATATCCACTACGTGTACATGCAGCACAGGTTGGTCATTGAGTCAACTGGCTTAGTTTCGATTCACAGATTGTACGTAACAACCTTGTGGGTTTTCTCTATTGGTCCTTCGGTTTCGTTCCACTGGTAAAGATCCCTACGGACAAGCGAATTATACCATGCGTTCCTCCAGAAATCACCTAGTTTGAGTCTAGTGGACGTTACCCCCCTCCCTCTCTCCCCCCCCCCCTTGTTTTGTGGGAATAAGAATATATTGTATTACACGTGATAGGAAAATTTACGATTGTATTATTCAGCTTGTTTTACCAATCTCTTTACCTATTTACTCCATATTTGACCAATTAGATAATTGAAGGTCCAAAACCCAAAGCTACAAAACTATCATACTTGTGGGAATTCGCTAGACAGCAGCTTGATTCCAGAAGGGAAAAGATGTAGCAATCTTCATCAGCAGACTCTCCCAGCGAGTCTGGCTGGATGAATTTTTAGAGAATGGCTTTATTGTATTATGCATTGTATCATAGGTAAGCAGCTGTGATATATAAAATGTAAAAACTAACTGTTGCATTGTTATTCCTGGAAAGACAAACGTCTTAAGAAAACAGTAAGAAGTAAATACACAACGTGAAGGGGAAGAAAGACGACAGGTGAAAATACTAGATGATCACAAGGCTACTAAAATATGTAGAAAGAAAAGATGCATGGGTCGTACGTAGGATGTGGCGACCGGATTTGGATCACCCGCTCTCCACGTCTGACAGAAGGCCCATGGTGCTACATTGGTTGGGGGGGGGGGGGGGGGTAATGTCACAGGCAAACTTGCCAGAAGAGTCAATCGTGATCTAGAGACTAGTCCAGCGAAGAACAGAAACGAGAGAACGAAAAAGAAAAGTTAAATTCACACCCGCGTTCCCTGTGGTTAAGGGAGCCGCGATGACTCTGTGAGTGTAACGTTGATTCGCTGACCTGGAAATCCCGTGTTCGATACCCAGAGAGTTTACTGGAATTCTCCCGTTTAATTCGTAGCGGAGGGTGAAAATCCTGACAGAATGGCTATTTGTTCGGATGGGACGTAAACCCGAGGCCCTGCGTACACGTTGGTGTGCATGCAAAATAACCCCTGAGGGATAACCCGTGGCGCCGTTGTCTTGGGAAAAATCCCCTCATAACACACTGTATGGTATAATATCTTTGTCCCCATTATCCAAGCGGTGCAGAAAAATAGGTCGTTAAACCCCATTTCATTTCGTCCTACTGTGCTGCTCCTAACCTGGGCTAATGAAGACGGTCATACGCCATACAGTGTGCTATGAGGGAAATTTTGCCCGGACAGCGGCACTACGGCCTACTCTTATATTGAATTCCAACACGGGACCTCGGTTTTTCGTCCCATCCGAACGACTAGACAACTTTCCATGTCAGCCCCTCCGTCCTGCATCACTGACAAGGGAGAACCACGCCGGAAAATCTGGATGAACTTTCTCGGCCAATGCAGGGATCGAACACCCGACCTCCAGGCTAGCGAGCTAGATTTCATTTCGTATCTGATTATAATGAGACTGTGTATAAACTTACCAACTAATACTAGCGGGGTTTCTATATTCCCTCGTAATTTCTGTAACATACTGTTCACCTTGATTGTGGACTGGAAACTTCCCATATCACATATAGAATATATCAACAAAAACCCATCTGCTCCCTGGGTTAATGACTTCACAATCTGTTCATCATCATCGCCCTTTAGAAAAAAGAAATTTTGAACTATAAAACACGAAACGAAATAGGATCTGTGCCTTAATCAGATTGGTGATGTCATGGATTCATATAGCAGCAAGCGGATATATACAAGTATATGTAGACGCTGAATACCACGGAGACGCACACAGGGCACACAGCAACTTCTCGGATCTTTTAGAAAAAAGAACGACTGTTTTATTGTGTGACTTGGCAATCGGGATCGTCGTAACGCATAGACACTGTCGATAATTAGCCCAGACATTAATTATTGTGTTTGAATTACCGATATAACAAGTATGTCTTAAATTTGATTAGCCATTTACATATTTATTCACGTGATATACCTGTTGTGATATACCTGGGGATACGTTGATAAACGATGCCGGGTCATAATTAAATGCATCTTCTTGTCGTCAGTTGCCTGTTTGCTATGGGTGTTGGGGGCGGATGGTCGAATGGTTAGCGCGTGCGCGTTGTATCATAAGGTCTGTCATTGAGTCATCTGGCTTGGTTTCGATTCTCCGGTTGTACGTAGCAATGAGTAGGGTCGCCTGTCCAACCTCGTGTGTTTTCTCCGGGTTCTCCGGTTTCCTCCCACTGCTAAAGACCCCTACACGCAAGCGAATTATTAGCATTACGCTGCGATATACAAATATATGTAGACATCGAAAACCAACGAGACGCACACAAGGCACACAGCAACTTCTCGGCCCCTTCAGTCGATGCCTTTCCCGCCTGGAATTGAGCGTGTTATATGGTTTGAAATAACACAATACATTAGCACTGAAACAACTTGCATTAATTTTTGTCTTCTTTTGTGGAGCAAATAAACATATCACTCCCTGTAAAGGCTTACTGAGTGTTGGGTCCAGCTGTGTAAGCTGGATTCGGGTAAAAGGGTTCAAATATTAACTTTCTGATATATATTTAGATAGACTGTTTATTCATCAACTAGGATATACTGATGAATAATATTATGTTAGAACAAAACAGATGAGGGTGCGGAAGGATACATTGGAAAAAGGGTTCGTAGCATCCGGGACATTTATAGTGAGAGAAGTAAACTAACCTGGGCAGACATGCGCAGTTCGAACAATCTAATACAACATGTATCGCCATCCACTGCCTCCCACGTGTTAAACTCAGCTCGTCTTCCTGATAAAACAAATATTGATCGTTAATATAGAGCGAAGCGCGGTGCTTGAGCAAAGCTCTTTACCGGTAACACAGGAGCATAATTGAAAATGTCACCCACAGACTGTTGATTAAAAAAAAATTCAGCCGGAACCGGATACACTGGGTAAAACAGGCAATGCGCATGTCAACTTACCAAATCTCGGCCAAACGAGATCACGTAACTAACAAAAATAATTCTTCACACCAAATCTCGCTTCGGCGAGATTACGCGCCTCATAGAACTATTTCTATGACGCGTCTAATCACTGACGTCACATATTTTTTACGTCAATGAAAATAATTCTCACACGTTTTTGTTCTTTTTTAAAAAACAAAATTAATGTTAAAATTTAGATCTAAATCAAAATCAATTTTGAAAAAACTAAATTATTTAACATTTTTTGTATCAATTGAGAAAATTAATTATATAGAGCGAAGCTCTAAAGCATCGCGCAAAGCGCGGTGCTTGAGCAAAGCTCTTTTCCGGTAACACAGGAGCGTAATTGAAAATGTTACCCACAGACTGTTGATTAAAAAAAAATTCAGACAGGAACCGGATACACTGGGAAAACAGGCAATGCGCATGTCTGTCAATGCGCATGTCAGCGCATGTCAACTTACCAAATCTCGCCCAAGCGAGATTTTGGGTCTCTAAGAAATATTTCTATGACGCGTCGAATAAATAACTTCAGATAATTTTGACGTCAATGAAAATCCTCACACCTTTTTGTTCTTTTTTCAATTGGGGAAACTTTATTATGAAGGTTTTATTTGACAACAATCACATCAGCTTCGCTCTACTCAGGCAAGGCCTGTTACATATTAAGGGTTGTATATTTGACAATAATCAGCTTCGCTCTACTCAGGCAATGTCTGTTACATATTATAGAGCGAAGCGCGGTGCTTGAGCAAAGCTCTTTTCCGGTAACACAGGAGCGTAACTGAAATTGTCACCCACAGACTGTTGATTAAAAATAAATTCAGACCGGAACCGGATACACTGGGCAAAACAGGCAATGCGCTTGTCAACTTACCAAATCTCGCCCAAGCGAGATTACGCGCCTCATAGAACTATTTCTATGACGCGTCTAATCAATGACGTCACATATTTTTGACGTCAATGAAAATAATTCTCACACTTTTTTGTTCTTTTTTAAAAAACAAAATTAATGTATACAATTTAGATCTAAATGAAAATCAATTTGGAAAAACTAAATTATTTAACATTTTTTGTATCACTTGAGAAAATTAATTTTGAAGGTTTTATATTTGACAATAACCAGCTTCGCTCTACTCAGGCAATGCCTGTTACATATTAGAGACTTTTGGCAAGCGTAAATTCCTGGTCCGTATCGTGTATCCGTATGGCTTTTGCGTGGGACGTCATCAATGTGTGTGTATTTCTCATACGTGATACGTCACACGCATACGGCAGCACGTATCGAATAGCTTTCATACGGAAAAGGTCCGTATAACATTGTCGTGTCTTTTTACCGTCCTTTTTGCTACTTTAAGACCTTGAAATGTGGTATCATAGCGTTTTTATGAATCATTGTGTATTCTAGAACACGAAGGTATATATTTGATGTGATTTTAAACATGATAAAGACTGAAATCATTGTTCTGAAATCATTATTTTTGATGGGGTTTTCTCAGAATTTTCGCTCGGTCTGCATGCTGGTTGATCTACGTGCTAAATCTAGGCAGATGGAACCTTGCAAATATGTAAATGATTTTATTCTATTGTAGAAGTGTATAAACTTTCTGAAATGATAGTGAAACCAAATATTGCTGTCTAGTCGAAGTCGATGATTTTTAATAAGATTTGACATTATTTTTGTTTCTTTTTAATAGCTCAGCGACTGTCGAACGACTTCTCTCCGTCCTGGGAATTGTAGGCTATAATAGGCACTTGACTAATACTGATGGTGATCTTGGAAGATATCTGCCATCATGTGTAATAGAACTAAGCTCATCTCATCAACGCATACGTACGCGACGCGAAAATCTGCCCAAACTCTAAAACAACATTGACGCAACGCATCACGTATACGATCTGGATACGTGATACCGATGGGAAAATTCTGATTGCCAAAAGTCTCTATTATCTAACGCATGCGTAGCAAGGGCAGAACCAATAACAGTATATAGAATTTGCGGTGTGCTCAAGTTTGCTGTATTCTGCCAGATTCCCACTATCACGTTTCGCTCTACGATTGAAGTCGTTGTTTTTAATCATTGAGTAATCGTGCTGATTCTATCAGGTGAGTCGTAGCAATCGTATCGAAACGTATCTGAACGTATCTGCACGTACCAGATCGTAGACTCAATAGGGACAATCCTATTATAACATATCGCACGACATTGGAACCTAGCATTAACCAATTGTGTGTGAAATAGCTTTATTTAACATCCACTTCCACCGAAGTGACATCAATTGAAGTACCTGTACGTATTATACATAGTGAAATAGATTACTATAACAATCTGAATACAAAAAAAGCGACCGATTATACCTCGAGCTCACAATTAAAGTCCGCTTCAAATGACATTTATCATACTAAGGACCAACAGATCTTAGAGAAGTTAGATTTTGGTCTGCATCATCTTAGGTTATGTCCCGTGCCTTTTACACAAAATATAAATTGTACAAAGTTTGTGAAGCCTTCAGAGCTCAGAATTTTTCCGATTTAAAGTTACAATTTCATAGTTTCTAAGAAAGCCAAAACATAATTATTTTTATGTCTTTTGCTCAATAGGTTGTCAACTCACTATTATACGATCTTTCTCACACTTAAAAATCTTCACACCGGAAATAATAACACAATTTCCTCCGAATTTCCTCCCTTGTTTTCTATTCCCCACCATGGAATAGCTATCTTCAAACTTTTGAATTTGAAGTTGAAAATCATATTTTTGCCAATTTCTCAACTGGCAATAGTGAATTATAGGAATAGCTATCTTCAAACTTTTGAATTTGAAGTTGAAAATCATATTTTTGCCAATTTCTCAAATGGCAATACTGAATTATAGGATTAATAGGATTATTCTTTAACAAGGTAGGACTGTTTATAGATATCATCTATTTTAGGGCTTTATTTTAATACATTTTAAAAATATAACTTAAAAATATGAAATTGTATCTTTAAATGAAACTTAAAACATATGTTAAGGCTCAATAAACAATCGTGGGTTTTTGAATGCCTAATGGTTTACGAAAAATACAAGTGTGCAACAGTTTTAGTTGTTCAGACAAAATGTCATCCAATTGTCCCTGTAAAAGAAGTGCCTGTGTCATCTTGATCCTCAAGCAGGAAAATCCAACGTGTCCACAACTAAATGCAGTGGTTTCACAACTGCGGAACTTTGACTATGATAAACTAATGACCTGGCATGATTCGCAAAGGGAACAACGATTATATTCACTATATTAACGCTATTACAGTCATACGCTACTCATATGTTTAATGAGGTAACTATATAAAAGAAATGAAATGAAATGGGGTTTAAAGTCCTACTGTTCTGCTCCGAACTGGGCTAATGAAGACGGGCATACGCCATACAGTGTGCTATTTTGGAAATTTGATCGGACAGCGGCTCTATATGGCCTACTCTTATATCGAATTCCAACTGTCAGTGTGTACATGGGCTTCGGTTTTAGTCTCATCCGAATGACTAGACAGATGTACTTGTCAGGCCCTCCGTCCTGCATCACTGACAAGGGGGAACCACGCCGGAAAATCTGGATGAACTTTTTCGGCCAATACAGGGATCGAACATCCGACTCTAGGCTAGCGAGCTAGCTTCTTTCCCACTTAGCCGGTAACTATATACAAGCAATGCTGTATTTTCAAGGGCATTTTGTACATTATTTTTATTAATTTTCATACTCAACTTACACGAATGGCATGGACATAACACTAAACGTTCAGTTTACAAACCTTTTGACGTTTTCTGTAAATTCTGTCTTTGATTGTCTTCAACATTCACAAAACACTGACACAAAGCTGAAATTATATAAAGAAAAAGAAATGAACAAAGTGGATCGATTTACAAACGATTATTATTCAATGTCTGGTAATTCGCTAGTATCATACATTTAGATGCATGTAATTATGTTTTGCCCTGCTAAGTTCCCAGGCGAGACTATTCCTCGGGAAGTTCCAGCAAGATTTCAAGAGGGGTGGGGGAATAAGGAAATACGTATAATTAATCAGGTACGACGACAATCCACACTTGTGGGCGTGAACGTACAAGAACCCTTGGGTGTTGGAATTGGAAGAAGAGTAAGCGGCAATGATAGTGTCCGACAAACTGTCCCACATGGCACATGGTATGGTGCATGCCCTTCTTCATTAGCCGGTCGGTGTAGACAAGTGGGACGTTAAACCCAATTTCATTTTAATTTTATAGTAGAAGAAAATTATTATGGAACACGCGTAAAGGAGAATACGAGCAAACATCTTCCGAACTTATTTTTATTTTATATCCGGGGGTTGGATGGCCGAATGGTTAACGCGTGTGCGTTGTATCATAAGGTCTGTCATTGAGTCAATTGGCGTGGTTTCGATTTCCCGGTTGTATGTGACAAGTAGTAGGGTCGAGTGTCCAACCTCGTCGGTTTTCTCCGGGTCCACCGGTTTTCTCCCACTGTTAAAGACCCCTACGCACAAGTGAATTATTAATATATATTATTATTATTATGTTAGTCCCGAAATGACCTAGTTTATGTAGAGTGGTTGTTAAATCTCTCTCTCTCTCTCTCTCTCCCTCTCTCTCCTATTGTCACGGTCATGTACAATATATTGTTTACTGTGAAGGCTAATTCTCTCTCTCTCTCTCCCCTCTCTATCTCTCTCTCTCTCTCTCTCTCTCGTTATAATTGTCCAACATATGTTATTTTATGTTAGTTTATGTTATTATTATGTAACATGTAATATGTTATAGTTTAAGTGTATGTTATTATTATGTAACATGTAATATGTTATAGTTTAAGTGTATGCAACTCATGTTATGTTATTAATGTATACCATACAACATCTGTGTAATATATAATTGTATTTTAAATACCCGACACCTGCCAGGTATATATAATATAACAACCTGCCGGGTATACATGTATATAATAGTATAGCGTAGGTGTATGTTGGTTTAAATCCTAATCCTAATGGAGTGATTTACCAGTTACTGTTGTATTAATGCTAGGTTCCCACTATCACGATTCGCGCTACGATTGAAATCGTGATGATCCTATCAGGTCTTATCATAAATTGTGGTCACTTGTAGCAATCCTGTTGGTCGTATCGAAACGCATCCGAACGTTTCTGCACGTAGGAGGTCGTAGACTCAATAGGGACAATCCTATGGTAACGCATCGCACGGGCAGTGGAAACCTGGCATTACACGATTCGTGCTACGATTAAAATCGTGGTTTTAATCGTGGAGTAATCGTGGTGATCCTATCAGGTCTTGTTATATATTGAGATCCATCGTGTTGATTGTATCGAAACGTATCTGAAATTATCTGCGTGGAGTGAACTCTATAGATACAATCTTATCGTAAAGCATCGCACGACAGTGACAACCTAGCACAACTCTTTATAAACCACTGCAACAAATAATATCATTAAACCTATTATCGATATTATCTATTCAAATCTCGTGCTTTCGAAACTTTGTATGTTAATAACCTTGTCAGGCTTGTACCCCTCTCCTCGCGTCCGCTCAACCCCACCCCACCCGCAAAACTAGGCGCTAGCAATTAATCTTGAAATAACTATATGTCATACGCTATTCCAAAATGTATCTGAATGTTAACCCCGATATTCCACTTGATTTATTTTACTTGTTGTGTTTGGTGTGGTACTCCTGTACGTACTAGTATACCGGTATACCGAATCAGTTTAAGTAGAATTACAAATTACCACCAGTTGATTGAGAATGTAAATAATCCTTCATTTTCCTTCATCTCTCCCTCTCATCCTACTCAATAACCAGAATATAAACATCTAGTTTATAACCACCAGTTGATTGAGAATGTAAATAACCCTGTTTGAAGTTCTAATGATCTAACAATATCATCTCCTTCATCTCTCATTCTACTCAACAACCAGAATATAAACATGATCTAGTTTATAATAGTTATTCTACCAGATCGTGTAAACCTTTAGATCAAGTAATGTTGGGCGTCCTACACCAGCAATCTGCTCTGTTGTGTACTTATTATGGACGACAAAATATTAAGAGGTTACAGGATTGAGAAAATTTCATACGATATATCTAAAGCCCCTGCCCCATTGGTCACCATGTAGACGCGGTTGTTTTCCCGGCCCAGAAGGTATGTCATTGAGTCAAGTGGCGTGGTTTTCGATTTACGGCTTGTACGTAGGTTTTCTCCAGCTTCTCGGGTTTCCTTCAACGGATAAAGCAAGATCCCTACACGCAAGCGAATTATTGAAATAAAATTAAACCATATGTTAGTCCAGAAATGTTTTGGTATACTAAATGGTATAATTTTGTTATACATCAGCCAAGACGATAGAATAAAGAGTATAATGTTTAAGTGTAGCATAGATGATTATTTTAACTGGCAGACATGAGATAAAAATCTAAAAGTTGCTACAACCACTGTCTGTACGTGCTGTGCTGTTTAATCTCACCATGAAGCCATTAAATCTACAGAGCTTCTATAAAACTCCCCGGTGTTCTTCTGGTGCAAGACATACACACAGATGATATACACAAACTTATATTTTTATATATTTGAATATTTCTGTTTTTATTGGCAGTACAATTTAAAGAAACATCTGACTGTAATACGCCCACTAGCAGCAAGGTCATCAGTGCTATCACCAACATCACACTGAGCCAGTTTCAAATAATCCATCTAAGTTTATGAAAATTTCCTTTAGAATAATGTCCAGTAGATGAAAAAAAATTGGGGGGTTGGATGGCCGAATGGTTAACACGTGCGTGCTGTATCATAAGGTCTGCCATTGAGTCAACTGGCGTGGTTTCGATTCCCCGGTTGTACGTGACAAGGAGTAGTGTGGCCTGTCCAACCTCGTGGGTTTTTTCCGGGTCCTCCTGTTTCCTCCCACTGCTAAAGACCCCTATGCGCAAGCGAATTATTGAATTAAAATTGAACCATGAGTTAGTCTCGAAATGACCTAGTTTGTGTCGAGTGGAAGTTAAACCCCATTTCCCTCCCTCCCTCTGTTTACCACAAGCTCCGTATGCCGCTTTAAACCACTGCGCCAACGATACGGATTTATATGGCTAACAAAAAGAAAAAAACTCAATTATATGCTTCGCCCACCCACTAAATACGATAAATACTATAGTAGAGGGATCGCGTTCGATTAATAATTATTTGTTATATGTGTTTTCCTAGGTTTTCTGATGACATCCCTTTAAAATATCTAGACATTTTAAATTTGATAACAAATCTAACATTCTTTTATTTAAAATGTTTAATAGACCATCTTGATATTACAGAAATGTTTCTGGCTATAAAATAAATTTACTGCAACACTTGATAGGATCTTATGATAAAATGGTGTTTAAGATGCTGCTGTTTGGCTTGTATGTTGGTTACGGTGATAAAGGTGTTATAAATTGTGTTACCACGTGGTGTTAGTACCTCAATGGTAGTGACTGATCATGGCCAGGGCAACCGAGGCAAACACGTAGGGCCCGGACCTCAAAGGGGCCCAGCGATTTTGTGAAGAAAAAATTTTGTTTTGATATTTTGTAGGAAAAAAAGAGAAGACCCATTTCTCAAAAATCGTGAAAAAGTTACCTTTTCTCGAAGAGTTTTGAAGGGGCAGCGGTCAGAAAAATTGATATAAACGATTCAACGTTGGGTGGGTTGGCAGCGGGAAGTTGATATCAAAAATGTGTCGATAACTCGAAACCCGAAATATTATTTCTGGTTGACAGGTAGCGGTCCTGTTACTCGTCCAATATTTCGCTATCAGCGACATTTTCCTACGTTCCATCCAAACAGGGGGGTTTGATGGCTGAATGGTTAGCGTGTGCGCGCTGTATCATAAAGTCTGTCATTGAGTCTACTGGCGTGGTTTCGAATCCCCGGTTGTACGTGACAAGGAGTAAGGTCGCCTGCCCAACCTCGTGGGTTTTCTCCGGGTCCTCCGGTTTCCTCCCACTGCTAAAGACCCCTATGCGCAAGCGAATTATTGAAATAAAATTAAACCATATGTTAGTCCCGAAATGACCTAGTTTGTGTCGAGTGGACGTTAAACCCCATTTCTCTCTCTCTCCCATCCAAACAACTTGCCAGGTCCTCGGTCTTGCACCACTGACAAGGGGGAACCAAGCCGGAAAATCACGACGAACTTTCCCGACAACACCGGAAACGAACACGTGACATCCAGATCAGCGAGCCAACGTCTCACTCACTGAGCCACAATGACTACTATTACTAACTAACGAGTCAAAATCGTCGACCACAACCAAAACAGTTCCAAAACACAGCACAGACATTGTAAAATGTCTAAAGTCAACAGCAACGCCCCGTTAAAAAGACGTAAAAAAGTCAAATGCATTAAGTGCCAAAAGATTAACCCGAATGTCAAATAAAAAACAGAACAATTCGTGGTATGCGTGATTTATCGGTTTTATTGTTAGCTGGATATATTTATTCTTTTGTTAGCTGACATGTGAGGTAACAGATAAGGGGAAATTTAGGTGCCAATTAAACGAATAACATACTATATAGTTTTATGGAGCGGTATTAACGACACAATTCTAACTCGTTATCTCCTGTAGAGAACATCTACTTATATGTACATGTACCTCCCTTATGGTACCCCTTTGACAGGTGTTTGGTCATGTGACCTGTTACTACGGTAAACCGGGATCACCCCCACCCTATCCCGCGCTCTTTTAGTGGAGATTGTAGTCCGGATTTTGGATGGAATAAATTTCGTATTGCAGATTACTGTTGCCTGTTTTATAAGACGAGATGCCAAATCCCCGTGCCTGT